TTCAATCCAAGAGGAGAAGAGGAAGAAGAGAGGTTGAAGGTGCTGGAGATCACCTGGTCAAAGTCTAGAATGGAGACCACCCCTGGAGATACCCAACACACATGGGGTGACCCACAGGACCAGTACTGTTTAGTATCTTCGTCAGAGACATGGACAGTGGGATCAAGTGCACCCTCAACAAGTTTGCAGATGACACCAAACTGCGTGGTGTGGTTGGCGCTCCCAAGGGATGGGATGTCATCCAGGAGGACCTGGACAAGATTGAGAAGTGGGCCTGTGTGAACTTCATGAGGTTCAACAAGGCCAAGTGCAAGGTCCTGCACCTGGCTCAGGGCAACCCCTGGTATCAGTACAGGCTGGAGGATGAAGAGATTGAGAGCAGCCCTGCCGAGAGGGACTTGGGGGTACTGATGGATGAAAAGCTGGACACGAGCCGGCAATGAGCGCTGGCAGCCGAGGAAGCCAACTGTCTCCTGGGCTACGTCCAATAAAAGCATGGCCAGCAGGTCGAGGGATGGGATTCTACCCCTCTACTCTGCTCTGGTGAGACCCAATCTGGAGTCCTGTGTTGACCACTGGGGTCCTCATCACAGGAAAGACATGGATCTGTTAGAGCATGTCCAGAGGAGGCCACAAAAATGATCAGAGGAATGGAACACCTCTCCTGTGAGGAAAGACATGGAGAGTTGGGGTTGTTCAGCCTGGACAAGGGTGGACCAGATTTTTAAAGGTCCCTTCCAACCCAAACCATCTGATGATTCCATGGTAAGTAAACACAATGCTAGGATCTCTTAGGTATTTGAGGACAAATAGCTTGGAAAGAAGCTGGGTGCGCGGGTTGGAACTGGATGAACTTTAAGGTGTAATAAGTGTACACATGTCTAAGCCACCAGCTTCTCGAGGAGAATGCTGTGGGAGACAGTTTCAAAGGCTTTAATACAATCAAGGTAGATAACATCTACAGCCTTTCCCTCATCTGCCTGGCGGGGATGACTACACCTACAGCACAGATGAAGATGAATCTTAAACTCAGCCCTGGGTTTCAATGGTCTCCTGCGCCCATGGGCAGAGGTGTGGGTGGAGGCACCAGGTGATGTTTCTCAGGGCCATGAAGGCCAATGGATGCTCTCAGGGCCCTGACACTGCCCCTGATAGACTCCCCCTGCCAGTGCCCTCAACAGGTCAAGTTCTCATTCCCTGAACTCCAGGGTCTGCTCTCTGCTACTCTCTGTCCCCATGTCCCTGAGGATCTGGGAGATCACAATTTCTCTACAGCCAGGGCTGCTTCACATCCCTGTCCAGTTCTTCCTGGTTTCAGAGTCACCAGGTCCAGGTGAGCACATGACTGGGTGGCCCATTTAGCAGCCGTGCTCAGGAGTTGTACACAAATCCTGAGAGAAACCTCCTGGGCTGTTTGCATCCTGTTGTCTTACCCGACCAGTGAATACCAGGGAGATACAGTCTCCCATAAGAGCCAAGGTCTGTGATCCACAGATAAGCCTTTGTTAGTGTATGTCCTGGAAGCCTGTCCTGGGTCTGGCTGGGTTGGAGTTAATTGTCTTCATAGCAGCACATAGGGTGATCTGCTGTGGATTTGGTACAAAACCATCACTGACAACACACTAGTGTTCTGGCTATTGCTGATCATCATCATGATGGATGAGGTTCCCACAACAAGAGCAAAAACTGCTCTCCCCAACGCCGGAGAGAAACAGGCCTGGTCTGTGCAGCCCTGGCAGGGGAGGCCTTTGCTGTCCCAGGGGATGCTGCAGCACCGTGGAGCCTGTGCCAGAGGTGGAGTAGATCTCCAGGAAAGACAAGTTACTGCTGAGAAAGTCTCTGAGGGAGAAGAGCCTGTGATCCAACCACACTGTGGACATCATGCTGGGCACTGACTGGCCAGACAGCAGCTCTGCAGAGAAGGACCTTGGGGTCGCAGAGGACAAGCAGCTGAGCAGGATCCAGAATTGCACCCTCACGGCACAGGCCAAGAGCCTCCTGGGCTGCATAAGGAAAAGCATTGCTGTCAGATGGAGGGAGGTGACCTTTCTCATCTTCTGAGTATTGGTGAAACCCCATCTGGAGTGCTGTGTCCAGTGTTGGGTTCCCCAGTGCAAGGAAGTTGGTGACCTACTAAAGCACATTCCTCAAAGGATCATAAAGGTGCTTTAAGGGACTGAGGAATCTTTCATAAGAGGGAATATTGTGAGATGTGGGACTGTTCAGTCTGGAAAAGAAAAGGCTTGGAGGGATCTTCTAATGTGACTAAATAACTGATGGGAGACCAGGGAGCCAAACACTCCTCAGTACTTCCCAGTGACAAGACAAGGGGTGATAGACAGAGAGAAAACCACATGGAATTCTACCTGAAACCAGGAAAACACTTTTTGACTGTGAGGGTGGTCAAACATTGGAACAGGTTGCCCAGAGAGGTTGTGGAGTCTCCATCCATGGAGACATTCCAAAGCCACCTAGACAACACCCTGAGCAACCTACTCGAGGTGACCCTGAGTCAGGTGGGGGGGTTGACTAGATGATCTCCACAGGTCCCGTAAAACTGACACGTTTCTGTGATATTGTGAGTATAAAGGAGAAATGTAAGACAGAAAGACATGAACAATGCATAGCATTGAGGAGAAATATGGTGGGATCCCATGGAGAGGACCCAAGCTGGAGCAGGGGAGAAGTGTGAGGAGGAAGAAGCGGCAGAGATGTTCTTTACTGACTTAACAGCCCCCTCTTCACTATCTCCTCTGCTCCTCTTGGGTTTGGGGTGGGTAGATGAATTGGGAGCAATGGAGTAATTTGAGCCCGGGAGAAAGTGTGAGGAGAATGGTCTTTAAGATATTTTTGTCATTGTTTCTCAGAATCCAAATCCTTTTGGAATTAGCAACAAATTAATTTGGTTTTCTCCAAGTCAATGTGTCTTTGCCCCTGATAGTAATTGGTACCTGTTCTCCTTTACTTTATCTTGACCCATGAGCTATTCCATCTTATTTTCTCCCTTTGCCCTGTTGCGTCAGGGGAGTGAATGCGCAGCTGGGTGTGTGCCTGGTGGATGGCCAAGGCTAACCCACTGCAGAACCACCACATCAGGACTGCTGCATCCACTATGGGGCTTCCCAGCACAAGCAAGAGCCTGAAAGCTTAAGGCATGTCCTGCAGAGGCGAGAAGGATGGTTGGGGCCTTGAGCATATTGTGGACAAGGAGAGGCTGGGAGAGCTGAGTTCTTGAGGAATCCCTCAGAGCCAAACACAGGAGCAAGGACCCAGGCGAGTTGGTGGGATCTCACTCAATGTAGATTTTCAATACTTGTTGAGAATAGGCCGTGAGCACCTGATCTATCTGGAGCTGTCTGAGAGTGGGCTTGGCTGAGAGACAAGAAGAGGAAGGAGTTATCACAGAATAATAGAATAATTTAGGTAGGAAAAGACCCTTAAGAGCATCAAGTCCAACAATTAACCTAACACTACCAAATCCACCGCTAAACAACATCCCTAAGTGTTGCGTCTACACATCCAGGTGTAGTAATGAGTGTCTCCAGGTGTGCGTAATGAGTGTCAGTAGGAAAATGGTTTCCTTTTATTTGTACTGGTGGCAGAGTTGAGTATCACTGAGTCCTGGAGAGAACAGGGGTGACCATGCAGCAAAGGCCCCTCCTCAGTGTTGGAGTGCATAACTAGAGATGGAAATGGCCTGTGTGTAGGCTAAGACTGGGACAATTTTGCTGGAGCAGCTTTGCCAGGATGTCCAGGGAACAGAGCACAGACCAGGACCCTTTCTACCACACCTCTTTTGCCTTGCTTCCTTCACCATGATGCCTGGCTCTGCACTGTGAGCACAGTCCTGGGTGCCCCAACTCTGCACACACTCTCACAGCTGAGCTCTACACTGCTGTTTTTTTTTCTCCCATGATCTTTCCAGCCCAGCCCCTTCCCAGCTCTCCCCACCTCCCCTGCCCTTTCTCCAGCCCAGTCCAGCAGAGCAGCCCAGTCTGGGCTTGTGCCACAGCAAAGCCCACCTCAGGGTGTTGCAGAGATCTGGGCACTCACCACAAGGCCCCAGCCCTTCTAAACAGCACAGCAGCATTTCAGGGGTAGAGAGGGGGGATTCAGTTTCCCCATAAGCTCCTGGGCTAGTGCTGGCCCCAAGGAAACAGAGGCCAGTTCCTCGCTGGCTCTCCTAAATTCCTATTACTGGTGATCCCCAACCCTGCCTTAATTTTCGCCCTCCTCTGCTCCCACCAGCCCCACTCCCCAGGGCACCACAACAGTCCTGGCCCTGGGCCTCCCCAGGCAGCTCCTGCATCTCTTCAGCCTCCCCTCCATCTGCCTGCTGGGTCACCACTGGCTCCCATGGCACTGTAGCGTCCTTGTTCATGGACACATCATATTAGTGCTTTATTTTTGGGTCACTTCGGTTTTGAATGTGATTCACCTTCTGAGTCTCCGTTCATTCCAAACCCAGGGCACACAGTGAGTCTCCATCCTCTCCTCTTTTCACTCCTCCAAAGTGATTTCCAATGATTCTGCTTTATGACATCAATCTTGCCACAAGTGAAGAAACCTGAGGAGATAACGGGAGCTCATGGGCCATCTCCGTTGCTGTTGCATATCAGGACAAGAGCTTTTATATCCAGAACATTTGGTCCAGTGGAACCCAATGGTACCATGAGCTTAACATTGAGAAGAAAAGGAAACAGACTATTCAAAGACCAGTTCCTTGGGCATTTTCCTGAAAGCAATTTTGTAGGAATAGCCCAGCCTTCAGGCACTGCAGATGGGAGATTCTGTTTTATTGAAGACCTGCTGTGGGGGATACCACCCCTGACAGAGTGTTGTGAGGCACAATACAATCAATTCTACAGATAATTAGCATAAGCCCAGAAGAGTATCTATAAGTAGGATTATGAAAAGAGAAAAAAGTAGGTTCATGGTCTAAGATAAATTCTAGGAAATGTGTAAAGAACGGGAGGCAGGTTATTGTAGGGATAAAGCATTCATTTAGCCAGTTTCCATAGGGCCTCCTTGAGCTCCTGGTTCCTCATGCTGTAGATGAGGGGGTTCACTGTTGGAGGAACCACGGAGTACAGCACTGCCACCACCAAGTCCAGCAAAGGAGAGGAGATGGAGGGGGGCTTCAGGTAGGCAAATATGCCAGTGCTGACATACAGGGAGACCACGGCCAGGTGAGGGAGGCACGTGGAAAAGGCTTTGTGCTGCCCCTGCTGAGAAGGGATCCTCAGCACAGCCCTGAAGATCTGCACATAGGACAGCACAATGAAAACAAAACACCCAAAGACTATACATGCACTAATCACAAGGAGCCCAGCTTCCCTGAGGTAGGCATCTGAGCAGGAGAGCTTGAGGATCTGGGGGATTTCACAAAAGAACTGGTCCAAAACATTGACATGGCAGAGTGGTAGTGAAAATGTATTGGCCGTGTGCAGCACAGCATTGAGAAAGCCACTGCCCCAGGCAGCTGCTGCCATGTGGACACAAGCTCTGCTGCCCAGGAGGGTCCCGTAGTGCAGGGGTTGGCAGATGGCAACATAGCGGTCATAGGCCATGATGGTGAGAAGAGAAATCTCTGCTACAACCACAAAGGTAAAGAGTAATACCTGTGCAGCACATCCTGCATAAGAAATGGCCCTGTTATCCCACAGAGAACTGGCCATGGATTTGGGAACAGTGGTGGAGATGGAGGCCAGGTCAAAGAGGGAGAGGTTGAGGAGGAAGAAGTACATGGGGGTGTGGTGGCGGTGGTTGCAGGCTACAGCAGTGATGATGAGGCCGTTGCCCAGGAGGGCAGCCAGGTAGATGCCCAGGAAGAGCCAGAAGTGCAAGAGCTGCAGCTCCCTCATGTCTGCAAATGCCAGGAGGAGGAACTGAGACCTGGTGCTGCTGTTGGACATCTGCTGATTCTGGCCATGGAAACTGCAAATGGAGATAAAACAGAAAAACTCAGAGAAGCTTCTCTGAGCAATATTTGATTCACTCATTGTGAAACACCTAAGGGTGCTTTTCTTTCCTGGAGCACTGCTATGCAGCTCCGAGGCATCCGCTCTGCTTGGTG